TAACCCCTCCGTGCGATCGTTAAATCACTTGCCGTTAGATGCCTCTATATATACACCCTTTAGTTACTGCTTCGCCCTTTCAGAGAGATTACGACATGCAGTCTTGGTTCATTTATTTGTTTGAGAATAAGTTTCACTTTCACTTAATATATACGCTTACTAGCCTACATGCATGTTTCGTCGGTTTTAATATAGCCTAATAGCTCAAAGTAACAAGAAAGAAATTCGTTTTTTACATCAAAACGTTTTTGTATACCCAACCATGCATGTATTAAAGTTGATCGTTTATAGATTCTAATTTCGTACCTTGTCTCTCTATGCACATGAGAGCAATATAAATGTATAGTAGCTGGTACACTCATAGGCGTACGGGATTCATATATCTATTGGAGGAGCTGTGGTCTATATTGCCCGAAAATATTTGGGCCCATTTCTTGACTTTCCTTTGGGGGATTTTACCCTCCCCCCTCCCCCAAATTCAACAAGTTAAGTTAAGATTGTAATGATTTTACGATATAAATATACTGTTAAGAAAGCGAAGAAAAACTTGAAATTATGCGTTGACGACTTCAAACGATGACGGGGATTATATATGAACCGCTTTTCACACGAAAAACATTACTCTCTAATAAATTGTGTCATATATTTTCTTCTAATATTCTCTTGTGATAGATGTGTATATTCAGAGGAAACTGGTGCATATAGTTTTAGTTACCAAGATCAGTATGTTTACGGTGCTTTCATACACTGATAAATAATAAAAAGATAATACGGGCGGATATAATTAGCAACACATGCATGTCAATTTCAGTCGGCACATGCGTCAAGACTTTTGCTCTATGTTATAAAGCTAGCATAAATGCTGGCATATTTATAACTTAGTCTATATCCAAAAAACAGTCATATTTGAAACATAGTGAACAATTTTGTATGTTTTTAACACAAAAAATTTAGTAAATACATTAACAAATAATAGTTTATAATTAGTCGAATTAGTGAAAATTGACTATATTCATGACGCAGCAGGTGAAAAACACACTGCCCAAAGATTATATTCTTTATTCTAGTAGATGTGTCATAATACTCAGTAGCTGCAATAGATTGGATACCTGATACCGTTGCACTTTTGAGAAAAAATAATTTACCGCCAGCATAGTAACACAAATATTTAATCTGCTGTCGGAAAAACGTTTTTAAAAATACACAATATTTTGTTTGCTTCAAGTGATCAGGATAATTTTTAGTTTAGGTTTATGCCTAGGCAGGAAATAATAAAACATGTAAGTTTCAAGAAGTTAGAATAAAAGCGCGAGATGTACTGTGAGATATAAAAAAGCTCAAATATCACTTGCGTAATTAACGTTTTAACTTGTTTTCGAACGCATCCGAATATAATTGCGAAAAATTTTTTAAAACTGACTACAATTTCAAAGTTAACGTTTTTTGTTCATTTTATGAATGACTTCTTCCACACAGAAAGAAATCTGAAAGACATCTGTGATCTTAAGAAATTCGAGTGGTCGGTTTTTACACAGACTGCCTCTTAATCTTTGATGAAGGACATGAAACAGCTTGTCTCTTTTCTCAATATGAAACAGCTCTTCATCTCAATTGGCAGATTTTTTGATCGGGTTCCTTTGACACCACTGGTTGAGTGCTTCAACCAGTTTAGCGAAGTCCCATTTCTCCCACTTACAGTCTGTTCGCACTAAGTTTCCGTGAATGCTCGGTACTTTATCTAATGTCATTGATACAGCGCTGTTGACCCCATCAAGCTTTTTTAAAGTCTCTAAGGCTTGAATGCAAAATGTTAACTTCTCATTAAACTCATTAATTTTCTTCAGGTTTGCACCGTGTATAATTAGCAGTTTTAAAGGCTTCGACTGTGTGCAATATTTTAGGCGCTAGTAATTCGCGAAGGTACGGAAACTTTGTGACTGGGGCAATATAGGATTTTTTCAATGTTCTCTGTAAATTGTCCCCAAAACCTTGGCCAATCCATATGAGAACCATTAAATTGCAAAATAACTAACTTGGGTAGTTTTGCTTGCATTCCGATCATATTTTTTGCTCGCCTTCAATATTTTGCTGTTTTTGTTCATTTTGTTGTTTTCCTTTAGTCGCGTAACATTTTACCTCAAATTGGATCTTTTCTTTCTCGATATCTTCTGCCTTCTTTTTGTTCTCTGCTAATTTTTTTGTCAACTGTACATGACCATGAGCTTTGCTTATTTTGGCATTGATCGCTTCACTCCACTCGTCTGTGTCTTCTTTCTTCTCAGCTTCTACTGTGATCCTCAGTTTCTCCACTTTGCTAATGATAGTTCAAAGAGTCCCTTGGGGTTCAGTAATGGAATCTTCGTCGCATTTCGTTAAAATCCTGTCCGTTCGCTTCGATGTTATTCGCAGTTGTGATATTTTTTCTCCAGTGCTCTGCTGGATTCTGTCCCACCCTTACTAATAGGTTTTGAACAACAACAAACACAACACTTGAATTCACAGGTTCACTCATAGTTCAATATCTCACTAATCTCTCTCACATTCCCACACGATTATATCTAAAATGTCATTAACTAATCATTCAACACACCACGTTAATCAACTAAAAGGATCATAAAATACTCTGAGTTATAGTTCTAAATTAAAGATGTCTGGCAGTCTCCGACATCATCAGTGCTCTTGCTTTGATGGGTGTTGCCAGCTGAAGCCTGACAATATCAGATGGTTGCAGCCAGTAGTATGGATTACCTTCCAAATAGTCCTAAAGCAGCAATGTAACTATATTTCCCTTTTATTGGCTTATTTGAAAATAATACCTTTTGAGGTTGTAGCATCTCTTCAACTTCATTTATTTTAAAATTCAAAATTGAGTGCTGTGAAGGTACATCTACTCTGAGTTTGTGACAAGTCAACCAGAGAAAATCCAAATCTACACCGGACTTAAAAATCTGCATCTTAGGGACCGGTCATTATTTATGGAGGGGAATTTTTTCTTTCCTAATTTTTTTAAAAGAACAGAAATTTAATGATGATCCCCCTGCATACTAGAATATTTTTCTTTGACCCCCCCCCATTTTCAGTTTTACTTATCAAATAGAGATATCTGCTATCGGTATTTATCTCTGCAAGACTGATTTGCATATACAGCACACATCAGTGACCATGATCTAGTCAACATTTACAACCAAATGGATACCAGGCCTATTAAACAAATTTCTTCGAATTTAATTGCAACCCCCCTCATTTTCTTGCAAAAATTTAAATAGCCCCCCTCCTCTAGTAATTTATTTATGCATATGCCCCCCTCCTGTTGCCCTCCCCCACCTTCCATAAATAATTACCAGTCCCTTAGAGTTTCAACAGTCTAGCAAATACAAATTTATAATTTGTGTAATACAAAAAAAATGATTGATGTATACATAAAAGTACCATTAATAATTAAAATAGACTTGGATGGGAATGGAAAATGACTTGATTTGTCACCAGAGAAAGTCTCATGCAAAGTTTCACTTGTGTTGTCAATGTCCAACAGGTCTTCGTCGTCCAAATCTATGCCTTTATATTCCCAATCCTGTTGTAGCTCGGTAGCAGAGGTGTTCTCCAGTCTAAATACTTCATCGTCATCATCTAACACCAGGTCACCCAGAACTTGTTCATCAGGCACAATCTGAATATTTGATGCCATGGCTGCAAAGGGCTCTTTGACGAGATGTCCTGTCGATGAAACATGAACAGAATATCTTTCCCATGTCTCAAAACTAACATGGCACAAATTACGGTATGACGACATGCCCTTTTTCTTCATTTTTTAAAATTTCTTTTGATATTTCTCTGCTTTTTTTAAATGAAAAACATCCCTCTTTGAAATCACTGGTGGGCTCTCTCGACCAATTATGATGGTTTTCCCTTTAGGGAATTTTGATTGGTTATCAAACGGCAGTGTTTATAAAATGCTTCGCTTCTCATTGGTTAATACGGTTTCCCGCATCGTTTTGTTTTTTGCATTTAATCTGAAAACTTTTAAAGGTGGACATTTTTTATTTAAATGTCTGGACCTGTCAGAAGAGCATTTGGGATGCCAAACATGTAAAGTAGTCTTTATGTATAGTGTTTACCATGTTTTTTATATTAACTGTATTTGATAAGGAATTAATTTTCTACATAGAAATACAGACTTTATTAACATCTTTTTCAGCGAGACACAAGGCAGTGCTCTACGAAGACAGGATTTTCCTCAAACCCTTTTGAAGGTAAAGTGTTTCTTAACTCATTAAGCTGCAAGCTGTAACAATGTTTCTACCCCAAAGTGGACAAGCAAAATGGCGAATTTTAGTTGCTGTCAACTATGTTTATGTGAATAGTTCTAGATCAAGTGCAATGAAATGGTAAAACATGAAATTTGGCAAGACAATAGAGTAATGAATAAGCTTTCATTTTTTGTATAAATGTGCACAGCTAGATCCATAACAGACAAGATAAATGAGTGAAAACTTCATGGACAAGCAAAATGGCGAATTTTAGTTGCTGTCAACTATGTTTATGTGAATGGTTCTAGCTCAAGTGCAATGAAATGGTAAAACATGAAATTTGGCAAGACAATAGAGTAATGAATAAGCTTTCATTTTTTGTATAAATGTGCACAGCTAGATCCATAACAGACAAGATAAATGAGTGAAAACTTCATGGACAAGCAAAATGGCGAATTTTAGTTGCTGTCAACTATGTTTATGTGAATGGTTCTAGCTCAAGTGCAATGAAATGGTAAAACATGAAATTTGGCAAGACAATAGAGTAATGAATAAGCTTTCATTTTTTGTATAAATGTGCACAGCTAGATCCATAACAGACAAGATAAATGAGTGAAAACTTCATGGACAAGCAAAATGGCGAATTTTAGTTGCTGTCAACTATGTTTATGTGAATGGTTCTAGCTCAAGTGCAATGAAATGGTAAAACATGAAATTTGGCAAGACAATAGAGTAATGAATAAGCTTTCATTTTTTGTATAAATGTGCACAGCTAGATCCATAACAGACAAGATAAATGAGTGAAAACTTCATGGACAAGCAAAATGGCGAATTTTAGTTGCTGTCAACTATGTTTATGTGAATGGTTCTAGCTCAAGTGCAATGAAATGGTAAAACATGAAATTTGGCAAGACAATAGAGTAATGAATAAGCTTTCATTTTTTGTATAAATGTGCACAGCTAGATCCATA